TGGTCCACTTCCTTTTTTGACAAAAAAATCTACAGGAAGTTGGAATTTTATAGCATTCTTATTTTTTGAAATTTCAAAAATGTTCAAATTACTCTTTTTGCCAGGGCGGTCCCCAGGTGCAAGGTGAAAAATTTCGTGCGAATCGCACAAAGCGTGTAGGAGGAACACGAAAAAAGTAGTTTAAGGACATTTCGCGCTCTAACGAAAAAAAAATTATAGGTGGAAGTGGGCGTGGCCTATATGGGGAGATTCAGCTCTATTCACCGAACGCGTGGATACAAGGTTTTTGAATGCGCGACAAACTATGCAGAAGTTATTAGCCTAAACGCGTTTTTTATGATAGTAGCGCCACCTAGTGGCCAATCTGAAAGCGACGCATAGACTATCCCCATTTTCACCAGGCCTGACAACTTTGCCAAATAAAATTGAGTTTTCGTATATCTTCAAGGGGGCAAAAATGCAGTCAAAGGGGGCTAAAAATAATAATAGGTAAGAAGAAGAAACATAGCAAATACAATAGTGACCTCCAGCGGTCGCTGGCTCGGTCCCTAAAAATACAAGATATAACGAAAAACTGAATTAAAGTTGTATGTATGCATGCTGGTGGGGTGTGTCACATACAAGTAGACACATTACAAATAGAGCAGGTCTAGACCCCAGCTGGGTGGCCATCTGCATCGACCAGTTGGGGGAAGGAAGGAAGGAAGGAAGGAAGAAAGAAAGAAAGAAAGAAAGAAAGAAAGAAAGAAAGAAAGAAAGAAAGGTAATGACAGAAGGACAGAGACAAAAAGGTGCACAGCAACAACAGTAGCAACAACTATACTAATAGTAGTGACTGATGAGGATGATGAACATGACGATGATGACGACGAGAACAACGATGGGGGACAATGAGCGGTGACTTTAGTAATAACAGTAACTGTATAATAAATAGTCACAGTTGTGCATTTGAGGTCCAGTATATACGAGGAATTGAGAGGAAGTTACCTGCTCTCTAGTCGTGTGTACAGTTGGGTGTTGTCTGTGCGTAGGACGAAGACGATGTGAAACCAGCGTTCAGGGAACAGGTCACAGCCATGATAGTCAACAATCATACCACCCTCGACCATCTTTTCATCCAGCTCATCCACCACCTGCAGGATCACAGCCAGTTACAATATTTACCCATTCAATCTGTAGTGTACATTTACTTCATATTGGTTCAACAATTTAAATTTAAGTAGCTCACAGAGGGACTAAGCTGCCCCTGCCAGAGTTTCCTCTAGGATTTTTTTTAGCACTGGGGGCAGGCCTGTCCGAACATTCCTCCCGCCCGCAAACGTTTTACGTATGAAACAGAACTGACACTTCGCTGCAACACAAACAGATATATTTATTCACCTCTATTCACACACAATGGGGCGTTGAGCTGAGAACTGACAAGTTGAACGTTGTCCAATTACAACGGACCCACCGTGGTGACGTTTTTGGTGGAGCTGTTAGTTTAATAGTCGACTTGGAAGAAAGCGAACGTTTTGACAATAAGCTACATCAACACAACAGTATGTGGAGTTAAACTGGACAGCCCCAATAACCTCTGAATAGTTCTACTTGTTGTTAAATTGCAATGTGAGCGGCAGCCAACGGGGGTGCATTATGTCGGCAGGATCACTTAAAAGGCAACCATGACTACATTGTGCGTCTGCCCCATTTCTGATACCGTGGTGGCAGAAATGTAACAATGGCAGGCCGCCGCTCCGAAATCAACATAGAGGAAACACTGCCTGCAATCCTCTCAATTATGGTGATAATGTGCATTAACTTCTTAATTTGTCTACATACAGTATATGGAGTGGCAGACGATGGACACATGAATGCAGCACATCCTTTTTCACTTCTCTCCCAGATCTGAAGTGGAAGACTTGGTTTTTTTTTTTTTTTTGAAAGGTGTGCATTCCAAAACCTTACAAACAACATGCTGGTTTTGTGGTGTTTTTTTGGTACTAGTGCAGTGCCCGTAGGAAGTATGTATTGCTATAGAAAAGTGGGAGGTTAAGTAGCTTTTTCATGGATGGCCAAATGAGGTTGTGTTTGAAGGTGTGGCAGCTAGCTACAGACGAACATCCACAGATTCTGATTCCAGTTTGTTGTCCTCGCGTATCCGGATCTCCTCAGACCGGAACAGACTCGGTCCGGACTCGTTCAGTCTCAGTAATCCACAACAGTCAGTTTAGATGCACAGAACGGGACCGAACAGCCGGCGAAATCCGCTGCAGGTATAAAGCCGCTTGCGCCACTGCAGGTATAGATCATCGTGTTTCTTAAGGTGTGTCGTGGGGGTGGGCTCTGCAGTGATTGGCTCTGGTGTGCACGTGGCTATGGTGTGTTGGACACGCCGGCGCGTCCGTCGACTCAGGAGGTGGGGCGTGAGGGTGGGCTCTATAGTGATTGGCTCTGGTGCGCACGCGACTATGGTTGACAATGCTAGCGGAATTCGTCAATCATTTATGAAATAATTTATTAACGGTATCTTTGTAGTCCAAACAAAGCCGACGTTGCACACCCTCAAACCACACAGCAGCCATGCTGAAACTCTCAGGTCAGAGATATTTGAGACACACACACACACACACACACACACACACACACACACACACACACACACAGATTTCTTGCTTCTAATGTACTTCACATGGCTGGTTGTGGCTGAATCAAATTAATAAAAGGCACTGTCTCTGCCAACACTTAAATGCTGTGAAAAGATAAAATTTGAATTTATCAATGTCTCTGCCACCTGCTGCTGTTCCATATCCCATAATGTGTGTGTGGAACAAGCCGCCCATTGGAACAGCCAAATGGATTGCAGCCACTGACATATAGGGATGCACTCAATTTTACACATAAGGTTACCGGTCATTGGGAGTAAAGCTCAGCTTGGCTTGGAGACTAACAATTTGAAACAGAAAGCCTGAGTTAATAACTAGAAATGTGGAGCCTTTTGTTGCATTATGGGACATGTAGGATCTAGTGTATTTGGAGCATACTAGGGATTAACTATGGATATCCTGATGTCTGCTGCTTCAATTTAGATTTTTTCCCCTGATCTGTCTCTTGTGAGCCATCCAACTTCATGAAAGTGTAATAGTAAAGATATAGTAGATTCATGGTGTCACACTCCCTCTGCCTGTGTTTCTATCACAGCCTCTCTCTGGTTTGTTTACATAGCCGGTCTGCTCTGTGTGCAGCTTCCATTTTTGTTCAGTACAGTCCAGCACAGGAGAACCAGGTTCAAAGTTTGCATGCGTGGAATTTAACTCACTCTGTCCTCATCCAAGATTGGGCACTGATACTCTTCGTCATAGCCATCGTAAAGCTGTCCTGGAGAAAAAGCATCATTAGGACAGCCTCAGTGTGACTCAGCTATTATCTGCATTTATTTGCACAAGAACCAATTGTGATGGAAACCAATGAAAATCGGGCAATGCTTGGCCAATAAGGGTTTAATTTGCAAAAGATGAAGGAATGCTCCATCCTCTCGGAATTTCAGTTGGTTTAACATTTTTACCTTCCTGGGCCAAGTCTCCGATGTTAACATAGTTCAGCCCTGTCCGCTGGGCAAGCTCCTTTCCTAAAGTAGTCTTTCCAACTCCTGGGGTTCCTTTAGAAGAGAGGATTAACATTCAAGATTTCATTCAAAACTTAGATATCGATGTTGCATCACTTGAAAGGTGAAATCTCACATACTGCATCATCTGGTGAAATCTAATCAGGTTATTGAGCATCTATTGACTCTGTAGTGAAGATGCTGAATTTTGCCTTTCAACGACCCATGTGGCATTCAAAGAGTCTAGAGTGTAACATTTAGTAGGCTCTATTGTCAGAAATGTAATATAATATTCCTAGATATGTTTTCTTCAGTGTATAATCACCTGAATGTAGGCATCATTGTGTTTTTGTTTCTTTGAACCAAGTTTCAGACCTGTACAGTCCTAAATGCAACTCAAACCTGATTTTATCAGCCACGGCGTTTATTTTACAAAATAGTGCCATATCTATATATATATATATCTATATATAGATATATATATAATCTGCCGAAGGTGTCTAGCTAACAGAAACGCACCAGAAGTTTAAGTCACCTGTTAACAGAATGTTTGGTTTCTTCTTCATCTTCATAGCTTGCTAGCGGCCAACACGTGTCTTAATGACGACAACCTGAAAGACAGAATAGTACTATTATCTCTTCATGCCATTCTAGACGAACACTTTAACGCTAACGTTAAATCTCTATGCTAACGTTATATGTCAAGAAACAAACCTGCTAAAGAGGAAGCTAACAAAATGGAAGACGTAGTTAATAGCCAGCTAGATGTTTCCTATCACACTAGCCTGAACACACTTCCACAAACAAACACTGCAGTAGACTGAGTTTTCACGACAGTTTTACGCCAATCAGTTTGCGGCACTCTGAATCCCCGGAGTTTAAATCGTAACGTTAAACTTCACTTTTCCTCATAGCTCCTTTAATTATTCCGTAGGACAAGCGTAACTCCATCTTTGATTCATAATTATTTCACATTAAACTCAAACAAGAGTTTGAAGTGACGGAAACACCGAAGTCGGCTTCAAATGGTCAAACAAGGTTAGTCGGTACAGAGATATGATATTAGCTTAATATAACGTTAGTATGCCCATCCCACCATTCTGCAGTAAAATGCGAATGTAACGTTATCTTAGTAAACAACGGTATGATATCGTTCAGAGAAACTGACAAAATGACAAAAAATTACTTTTGTCGGGTATTTGACTTTTGGGTGTACGTTTGTGGTGTGGGGCTATCGTAACAGTTAACTCACATTTGGCAGCACAATAGGGGGAAAAGATAATGCTATATTATATCCACCCTGCCTTTAGTTGTGCTACAGCATACAGTATACATACTATGAGAACTGAACAGGATTACTACCAACATTTGCTTTCCAGTTCTTCGTTGAACTGCTGCCCTCAGTGTGAAAGATGAACACGATTTCTGTGGGAGATAAAGCTGCTTCAAGCAGGGTATGTTCTTAATGACAATTACATTCCATGATGTGTGTGTGTGTGAGAGAGAGAGAGAGAGAGAGAGAGAGAGAGAGAGAGAGATTCCCAGAAGAAAGATTGTCTTGTCATCAGATGAGTCAAGGTGTATGAATATAGTAACGTACAGTTTGTAAAAGGCTTTACCTCCAGCCAGTTGCTTTCAATCAGGATTCCCACATGTCTTGGAAACACCTGGAAATTGATTAAAATTACCAAATAATTAATTAACTTGAAACTCAAGTGTTTGTAGGGTGAACTGTATGATACTTAAAGTGGGTTTAATAGATGCAAAGTGGAACAAACTAATCTTTTTGTATTGAGTTTATTTTTTACAGAGCTGCATGCAAAATTCTCATATGTCCATGCATACGGCCTCTTGTTTCTACCTCAGTTGCCAGTGGTGAGGTAGTTGCTCTTCACCAAGCATGCAACCATCTCTGTTTCCTCCTGTAAATTATATTCGAGAGCTGGTTCTGTCTAGTAACTGTCTGTTTGTATTTGGCTGTAATTTATAAATGTTGACTTATTCTGGATATCCACCATCAGTTGTTCCTTATGAATCATCTTTGTTTGTCTGTATTTTTAAAAGCTGAACCACTGGGTGGATCCGTCCTTCACTGATTTTCCTGGAGAAAGCTTTTCTCTGTCTGGAAGAAGAAAGGGCAGCCAGGTGTTGGGCTCCAAGGCTGAGCCCAAGAGGCCCCAGAAGAGAAAAGGAGAGGCTGGCAGGTCAAACCCTCACACGTTGTCCTATCTGCTGAGAGAGTCAGCCCAGAGGGACCAGGATGAGCCCTGGGTGGACAGATATTCCCCCCGTTCACAGGTCAGCATCATCACTGTTGACATTTGTTCTCGTTCTTGTTATCCATGAATACATTTACAATCAGCCAATAACTGGTCTGAATCCAAATGACCACCCTCTGCACTTGCAGACTTGTCATTACTACTTGTGACTTGTCTGAAGTGTTTCGTCATCAGATGAAGGCAGCGAAAAGACATTATGAGACATAACTTAAGACTTCACTCATCCCCATGCCTAGATCTTGAGTCCATAATCCATAAGAGTATTTTTTTTCTGACATTTCTTATATATCTATAATATATGTGTGTGTGTATATATATATATATATATATATCTCAATATACGTAAGTATAAATAATAACATATTGTCTCCAATATGAGCGATGTCTCATATGATTCAAATCTATGTTTCATATAATTTTAAATCATTACATTGATTTGTATCTTGATGCAATACATTTTCTGGAAAATTGGTTAGGAACCATTTATGGATACGATAACCAGATGAGAGTGTCAGTTCTGGGCTAATCCAGTAAATGGACTACCTGACAAATCAAGATACTTCTTAATTTGCAGCATTGCATGAAATAGCCTAATACAACCAGAATTTAAAAAAAGTATATCTATATTTTGTCTAATGTCTTTGTACAGTAGCTTTCCGCATTTTGTTATTATAGGTCTGTGATACCATCTTAGCACAACTCCAATGTAAGAGACATGGGTCAAAATCCACATTCCTTATTTAGTGAAGCCAAAATTGATTAGCAGTCAAATTACGTGGGTATACTCCAAAGTTTAGAGCCTTTTAGTATGAAATTATCCCTTCAGGCATGGCATGCATTTATTCAGTAGCCACATAAATGGGAAGTAATTTTCTTAACTGTGCTTACATTTGAATGTACATTAATGCTGGAGCCAAACACATTTTTTCATTAAGCCAATTTGAAGTTGGAGGCTTGTCTTTACAGCTGATATCCATTAATATCCCCCATCATCACCAGTGATCAAGTGTTTAAGCTTTATTTGATTCAAGTGTCTAGATCAGGGGTGTCAAACTGATCCGTGAAAGGGCCGGTGTGGCTGCAGGTTTTCATTCCAACCATGCAGCAGCACACCTGACTTGGTTCATTCAATCAACTGAACTGTCTTCACACAGTCATTTCTGGCGTCCTCTTGCTTGATTGTAACAAAAACTCGCAGCCACACCCACCCTTGATTAAAGCGTGGGTGTGGCTGCAAGTTTTTGACTGTGTGAAGACAGTTCAGTTGATTGAATGAACCAAGTCAGGTGTGCTGCTGCATGGTTGGAATGAAAACCTGCAGCCACACCGCCCCTTTCACGGATCAGTTTGACACCCCTGGTCTAGATGCTGATTCCTCTGATCGTGTATTTGTAGCTGTAATAAAGGTTCAAGAAATAACTTTCCAGCCTCTCGTCATGGTTACTGTGTGTCTTTGTGTAGGTTGAGCTAGCTGTCCACAAGAAGAAGATTGAAGAAGTGGAGAACTGGATAAGAGTTCACACAAACACATCAGAGGTACTTTATTCTAATAATTTTGATTTCAGTAATTAACTTGGCCCCCAGCCTAGTGTCCCTGCATTGTCTGTGAGTAACTGTTAGCCCAGCCGTGTGCTTTATGAGGGATAAGGATTGGTGTAACAGTGGAAATATGAAAATTCTATTCCGTTCCTGCTCATCTAATCTGTAGTTTGTCAATCATATTCATACCACCCTTTCTACCAAGGGAATTTACATTGGCCATTATCACAGCAATCTAGATACCACCACAGGTAAGTACAGAAACTGCCCTGTCTGGTCTTGAACTTGAATGTCTCACAGACCAGTAAATCTGATCTACAATATAAGAAGGGTAGTAAAAAAAGATTATAGTTAGGAAAGTGGAAACATTTCCAGAAGGGCGGCTGTGGCTCAGAGGCAGAGCGGGTCTTCCTAATCGGAAGGTTGTTGGTTCGATCCCCTGGCTCCTCCCGCCATGTGTCAAAGTTTCCTTGAGCAAGATGTGGATGTGTATGAATGTGTTAGTCTTACTTTGCCATCACTGAGTGAATGTGTGTGAAAGGGCGAATGTGGCATGTATTGTAAAATCGCTTTGAGTGTTCGGAAGACTAGAAAGGCACTATACAAGTACAGGTCCATTTTAAATATTTTTTTTTACATATTTCACCAATCCCAGAATCCCTTTGTCAAGGGAGGTTGATGTGACTCAAGCAAGTGAGCTAAATAATTGTTATGCTTGCTTCAGCTGAGCTGGAAAAACAGCTGAAGCAGAAGTTACTGGATGGGCGGGTTTATCTCTCACACCTATCACCCTTTCTAAGTATAACATCAGGAGAGCTTTCAAGCATGCAGACACCAGGAAGGTAGCAGAACCAGATGGTATTAGTGGCTGGGTCCTCAAACTATTAGCTGATCTACAAGTGCCCCAAAACATTACACATATAAATGTATTACTATTCCTATTCTAACTTTTACGGGTCCTGTTTAGAGACCAAGTAAAGTCAAGAGCTAATCTTGTGGTCTGAGCTATTATGATCATATACTATTACATTTTTGTCTGTGGAGGCCTTAAATGAAGCTGAAGGTTCAGGTTGAGCCCAGCTGTTGTCATCTACAGGGTAACATCTTGCTGCTGACAGGACCATCCGGTTGTGGAAAGACAGCAACAGTCCAGGTTTTGGCTCAGGAGCTGGGCCTCAGGGTTCAGGAGTGGGCCAATCCCACCAACCTGGAGCCATACAGCAGCAGTCAGCATGGTGAGGACAAATCTTTACTGTGATAGCTGTTTCTTACCAGTCAGACATATCAGTAAGACTCAGACTAAGAGTTGGCATGAAGTAGTCATTAAAGGCACACTATGCAAGATTTTTACCTTAATATAACAGCTTCAAAGTCATTTCGATGGTAAACAAACTCGTAGTATAGCGAATCATCCCGATAGCAAAGCAGGAGAGGGACGCCGTTGGCAGAACCAGCAATACAAGTCTGAAAGGTGGCGTCCCGCCAAATCTCGCGAGAATCACAAATTGCTTTACGGCGTGACGTCACATACATCAGCGAAATAAGACGCAGCCTCAATGGAAGATAGCAGACATTCACTCAGACGTTACCTGGTCAAGAGACATCTTCAGAGTCTATCTTTCCCTGTTCGATGTCCGACGCTTCCATCCTACTGAACATGTACCGGTATACGGGGGGAGAGGATCAGGCCGTGAGTGCAGAGACGCAGAGCCGTATATAGAGACGGCTCTGGTGAGTGGTATTTACAACAGTTAATGTTAAATACAAGTACTCCGCTGCGACTCTAGGGGTAGCTGTTTGAGAAAACCGGAAAACTGCATAGTATGCCTTTTAATATAAATGAGAATTGCCTTGTTGATGAAAAACTGCCCCTCAGTGACCAGAAAAATGCCTTTGTTGACACTGTGTCAGAGAGGAGTTGATGCTGATGTATTGGATTTCTTTATTTTGAAAGGTGTATCTAATATATTGTCCAATCAGTTTGTAAATGGGAATGGGTGTTTTTAAGTGTAGGTAGAGTGGAAAAGTTATATATAATCTCAGTGACCTACACTACTATCTTGTGTCAGTTTACAGGCTTCTCCGCCCTGTTTTTTTTCATTTGTTGTTGTGTCTGTAATTCTCCGTCTTTTGTCAGAATGGAGGATGAACAGCTTTTCCTTCAGCTCCCAGTTAGCCCAATTCCAGGACTTCCTCCTCAAAACCAACAAATACAACTGCCTGAAGATGGTGGGTGATGGAGGACCTACAGACAGGAAGCTCATACTGGTGGAGGTATGTACTACACCTTCAACTGGAGCCACTGTTCTGTAATTACCCCAATTTGTCATTCCTATTCATTTTAGTAGCACAGTACAACGCCTGTAGATGTCATGAGGAAAATTGCACAACCCTTGTTTTCTGTGTTTTCCTCTTGAAGCCTCAACTATTTTGCAACAGTATTTGCATTAGCTGGAGCAGTGCCTACAGAAACTAGATGGCATCATTTTGTCTCTACCATCTCTGTTCCATCTGCAGCTGTATGTCCATCTCCAACATTTTAGTCATTTTATCTCTCTGAGATAGACCGGATACCTACTATTTATTGCATCCCTTAAAGGTCCAGTGTGTAACATTTAGGAGGATCTATTGTAAGAAATTATTATTATTATTATATAATATTCACAGGTATGTTTTGAAAATAAGAACTGTTGTGTTTTCCTTACCTTACAATGAGCCGTGTTTATCTACAGAGTCATGTTAAACCGGCATATTTCTACGGTAACCCAGAACAGACAAACTAAACACTGGCTCTTGATACGGCATTCTGCGGCCACTGTAGCATGCTTGTAAGGCTGAACTGTTGGTTGCTGTAATTTCAAGTGCATTAAAGATGTACGCTACAAATCAACATGTGGCAAATTTAAACACATTCTTTGCTCAAGTAGAAGTACAGATACTAAGGTAAAAGCAGAGTACTGTTTCAACTTCTTTGGACAAGTAAAATGAAAAGTACAGGCTCTGAAATTCAATTAAATTTTATTTTTATAGCGCCAATTCATAACAGAAGTTATCTCAGGACACTTTTCAAATAGAGTAGGTCTAGACCGAACTCCTTATAACATTTACAGAGACCCAACAGTTCCCACCATGAGCAAGCACTTGGCGACGGGGGCAAGGAAAAACTGCCTGTTAAGAGGCAGAAACCTAGGACAGAACCTTCGGCTCTAGGCGGGTGGTCGTCTGCCTTGACCAGTTGGGGAGAGAGAAATGATCAGATCCAGCTGAAATTTACTCATAAAATGCAAAACACATTGTTGATATGTGATGAATGTGGTGAGTGGGCATGTCCGTGGCGTGGCGGGAAATTTTGATGTATGTGTGACTTCACGTTTGATAAGAGTCCCGCCCTGAACACGTGACCCGGCCGCAGATGGTTAAATAAAAACAGAAAGTCACTTTTTATACTGCTGATAGATGCCAAGAAATGTCACAGAAAGAAATTGGCTTAGACTCTTTTTCACAGACTAATCTCACTGACATGCTCCTCCATATTTATAGAATTTTATCTGTTGAGAAACTGAATAGGAACAGACTCCTGTCTGAGTGCACCCTCATGCATGTTATCATCTTACTTAATGTTGTGCGTTAACTTCTCTTGTAATATTGTGGAACTGATGCATTGGTCTAAAGCTGATTTGTTTAGATTAGTTTGGATACACACCTGAGTTAACACTTGATCATCACTTCTCCCTCTGAAGGATTTCCCAAACCAGTTCTACAGGCAGCCTGGCAGCCTGCACGATATCCTGAGGTGAGATCAGATTTCAGCCTGCATTTCCTTTCATACTTTCACACAGGAAACCAGAGAAAATTGCAATGACGACACACAACTTTTATGCCAGTATGTAAAATTAAAGAACCAGTGACCAGTACCAGCACTACTTGTTTTAGTGTCTCCACCTTTTGGGTAAAAGAGAATGATAGATAGTCTTGGAACCTTACTTTCTGTTTAGCATTGTTTCCACCTCAGCATCAGGAATTAAGGGTCTGATGAAAGCCTTTCTACAGGACAGACTAGTCCTAATATGTTGGGTGTTTGATTGTATTCTTTACTCTACTGTATGTATCCATTAATGAATGAGTCTAATCTGTGCCACCTGTGTATTTCCCTGCTCTGTGTGAGACTATATCCTCCTGTGTGTCTTCCAGGCGCTTTGTGAAGACCAGTCGATGTCCTCTGGTGTTCATAGTGTCAGACAGTCTGAGTGGAGACAGCAGCTCACGCGTTCTTTTCCCCAGAGAGATTCAGGAGGAGCTGGACATCAGCAACATCAGGTTTCAAGTGATGTACACTGCTGACTATGACAGAGGTGTTTTTACTAAATAAAAAGTAAATCAAAATCAGCTTTTAGATACAGTTCAGTCCCCACTGTAGACTGATGAGGGAAGACTGTTCTGGTACATTCAAGTTACGTAAGTAAGTGTGCTGCGTTTTGAATTGAGTTGCAGTCTGCTAATATTCATATTAAATTACTAAGACAGCAGCTCAATATGCGGTCAGCTCCTGGACTGAACCTGGTATACTGCCCAAACACACATTGCAAGTGAAGAAGAGCTCATAAGCAAAGTTCAGAGGTGGAATTGATGATGTCCTAAACGCAGAAAATAAATATTAATTAATTAGTTAATTATAAATATTTACTGTGGCTGCAATTTAAAGGTCCAGTGTGTAGGATTTAGTGGCATCTAATGGTGTAGTTATCGATTGCAACTCTGGTGTTTACCCTCCTTCCAAGCACAAAAGAAAAACTATGGTGGGCACGAAACGCCCCTATCTACAACCAGAGTTTGGTTTGTCCTTTCTGGGCTACTGTAGAAACATGCGAGTTCAGCATGGTGGACTCCATGGAAGGCGACCAGTGGCATCTGTAGATATAAACGGCTTATTCTAAGGTAAAACACAACAATTCTTATTTTCAGCTAATTATACTAATGTTAATGAAAACATACCTATGACTATTATATTCCATTTCAACAGATCCTCCTAAATATAGTGTATAAAATTGTTCCCATCTTTACTTTTTCCAACTTTTTATCTGTTTTGTTTTAGCAGTATTTTATGTAAGCTGCGCCCTCTCCAAAAATTGCTTACAGAGAAAGTTTTGGTTTGTTTTTTTTTTTGCCGTGAAAGTACTGCTTTCGCTCAGTCAAGCCACCGTTGCGCAGCAACTACATGGACGCGTTGTTTACACCAGGGATCCGCTGGATCAGCGTGGAGACTAGATCATTGAATATCCCTACAGAAATCTGGAGACGGGGACACAGGAGATGCAGAGGAGGAATGAAACGGCGAGGGAAGAGAGAGGGGTCCAGACAACAGAGACTGAAGAAGAGGAAATTTCAACAGTGTCTCCCCTCTCTCATTTTGGGCAAGGTGTCATAAGGAAATAAAATGGATGAGCTAACGGCGTTAACACGGAGAGAGTTCCAGGAGTGTAGTTTAATGTAATGTTACTTCACTGAGACACCAGGATATAACGTTACCTGACCACAACGTCTCCACTGACGGCTCTTACTCCGGCTATATTATTTCACATGCTATTGTGGTGGCTGCGTACATTCCTCCCTCTGCCAACCCGACTTTGGCGTGCAACGTAATTCACAACGCCATAGCTCGACTTCAGACCCAACAGCCTAGTGACTTCATAGTAATCTAAGGTGACTTCAACCACGTCACCATGGCAACAACATTTAACAAATTTACCCCCGGGCACATTTACATCAAAGTATTTCTGACTCAGATTTTGATCCTGAAATGTTACACACTGGAACTTTAACTTTAACTCTACCTGAGAAAAAACATTTCCAAATATTATTCATAAGTTTCTGATGTATCTTTTATTGATACATTAAGAAGCATTGAATATGTGAAGGAGAATCGAAAAGGAATAATATGTGAATTAGAGTAAATGATAAGACAAATCCAAATACACAAGACATTACAACTGGTAATGTTGATGCTGAGGTAATACAGCCACACACTTAAATAATTTAACAAAAGAAAGAAAAGTTTAAATGCAAGTTTGAACACAAATCAAACTCTTTTTCAACAATGTGTTTGTGTTTCCAATAATCGGCTTGTAGTTGTAGAAAAGCCAATTCATGTATCTCCCATCTGGCAGATATTTTTCCCACAAAACTGACAGTCACAAATTATGTGACCTTATTCAGCACTAGTCAATCCAGCGGAATATATAATAGTCTTCTATTAACATGTCTCATCCTATTATTTGCACGATCCTGCCTGTGGTGAGGAGTGAGGCATACCTTGCAAACACTCGCACAAAATACAGCTGTGACTTCTTGATAAATACAGCTCATGGTTCGTGTTGATGTGATTTGTGTAACTGAATACCGGCTCATTTGAGAATTCTCTGTAATTAAATGCAGGTTAATCAGATATTGAATAAAACTGTTCTTCTAGTGATCACGTGAATCCTCAAGTGTTCCATTTGGGGGAGGGGCACTGAATTACCCTGAACATTGTTTTGTGTATTCTCTGTTTCCAGTTTTAATCCGGTGGCTCCAACCACAATGATGAAGGTCCTGACTCGAATTTCAACTCTGGAGGCAGGAAAGGTAAAAGGAAGCGTTTCAATTGATAACATATTTTGGAGTTGTGTGTTTTCTACACTATATTTTCCCATTATTCTAAGCAGAGTTGTGGGAAGATGTGTGTATCAGACCAGGCAGTGTTGGCCACGCTGTGTTTAGGAAGCTCAGGAGATATTCGCAGTGCCATCAACAGCCTCCAGTTTTCCTCCCTCCCAGGTCAGGAGTACATCCACCACACCACACTACACCAGAGGGGTAGCCAGGAGTGTATACATATTATATACATATTAATGACATTTGCTGTGAATGGCCTTTCCTCAGAACAAACATTGTTACCCAGTGTCAACAACTGACCTCAGAGAACTTAATTATTTTAACTTTCCAGACACATCATTGGAAAAGGGCCTGTGGAGGATGAAGGAGAGACCTGTGACTTCACTGGGAAAAGCTGTCTCCAGAATGAATCAGAGGAAGAAGTCCAAACAGACAAAGGAGCCAGAAGATGAGCAGGCTATTGGAGGGAAAGATGCTTCTCTGTTCCTGTTTAGAGCACTAGGAAAGATTCTACACTGCAAACGTGAGTCATATCTCCCACATAAGCCTTTCCTGTTCTCTTATTTAAAGCCTTTTAGTCTATTTGAAGCCTGATATATTATAATTATTATTCCAGTCTCTTCTTTTTTTTCTTCTTCAGTAGGAACCAATGGGCTTGGGGCTTAATTATTATATTGACTTATCAATTTTTTAAAATTTAAATGCGTGCGTGCGTGCGTGGGTGCGTGTACACCGATCAGCCATAACATTATGACCACCTGAGCACCCTGGTGGTCATAATGTTATGCAGCAACAAACTGTGGTGCACTGTGTGTTCTGACACCTTTCTGTCAGAACCAGCATTAACTTTTTCAGCAGTTTGAGCTACAGTAGCTCGTCTGTTGGATCGGACCAGACGGGCCAGTCTTCGCTCCCCACGTGCATCAATGAGCCTTGGCCACCCATGACCCAATTCACCACATTTCCTTTTTTGGACCACTTTTGATGGCTACTGACCTCTGCTGACCGGGAACACCACACAAGAGCTGCAGTTTTGGAGATGCTCTGACCCAGTCGTCTAGCTATCACAATTTGGCCCTTGTCAAAGTCGCTCAAATTCTCACACTGTCCATTTTTCCTGCTTCTAACACATCAACTTGAGTACAAAATGTTTACTTGCTGCCTAATATATCCCACCCACTGACAGGTGCTATGATTAGATTAGATTAGATACTTTATTCATCCCCAAGGGGAAATTCACCAGATAATCAGTGTTATTCACTTCACCAGTCAGTGGTTACAATGTTATGACTGATCGGTGTATATTACTTGTTGTTTAAAAATGTTGCCAACATGATGTCAGATGTTAAAGGTGCAGTGTGTAGGATTTAGCCATCTAAAGCCATGTAGCAGATTAGAACTCTCTGGTTTCACCTTTCCCTTTTAAGTACACCCTTTCAAAGAGTTAATTTGAGTTCAGAGGGGATGACACGCATCAAAGGGCCACAGGGATTCAAACCCTAGGCCACTACAGCTAGGAATCAGCTTTGGTTCATAGGGTGTCAGCTCTACCAGGTGAGCTATCCGGATGCCCCTTGTGTCTTTAAATCCTACAGAGAGCGTTTTAGAAAAAGGAACATCTTCAGAGCTTGTTACCTGCCATACGTTGTTTACTTGTGAGTTTTGTCCTTAAAAAGGATACAAAACAGTGTGTTTGCTTCAAATCTCCTCTAACCTGCCTCTGACTGAGTGACATCTGACTTCTAGTATGGTACCACAATGTTGATGTAGCGTGAAATTCGATCTGGAGTCTGCACTGGGTATTTTATATTAATTAATTGATGGGACTCTCTATGCCAAGTCCGTGTTTTATTTCCTGGCAGTGCAATCTGCTCTGTGCTGCTTGACGTGAGTGGGTCGTGGCAAATAGTTTATATGCTTGGTTGTTTGTGTTCAACAGGAAGGAATCATGAAGGTGCTGAAGCTGCCGAATGTGCCTCTGGACCTGGTCTACCATCGCACCTGTTTCAACATCACAGAGAAACATTACTAGTAGACCCTGAGGTACAAACATGCTTTTTGTAACTTTAACGGGTAACAAACATCAACAAAAATCCTCTCAGTCTTTGAGAACATCTGTCTATGTCTCCTTGTTCAGTTGGTTGTTGAGCGTTCACACATGTCTGCGGAGTTCTTCAACTTGTACCTCCACCAGAACTACGTGGACTTCTTGTCTGAGGTGGAGGATGTGGAACGGGCCAGCGAGTATCTGTCTGATGCTGACCTCCTCACTGCTGATTGGACGGTCAGTCTTTCTCTAGACATTAAAAACAAATAGGAATGGTTTGATCAGCAGAATCTGAAGCTCCTTACTCAAGGACATGCCTTACCTGAAGTGATGCTTACCCCCATTCTCCATAGTGAAATGAGATATAGTGAATCATTTTGTAACATGGGGAGAGCTTTTTAAAACATTGAAAATAGATTTCCTGAGCAACAGTCTGTTTTTAAGCACATAGCTTCTGTAAGTCACCGTCCTAAAGACTTTGGATTGGTTTGCAATGCAGGATTTTTAAACTCCCTTAATTGTTTCCACTCAATTTTAACAATGAAAATCTCTGCTAGTCCAGTTCATATTGAGATTACCTGTGTTACCAACATGGTCTATGGTGTATTGACTGTTAATTAGCTGTGCCATCTGTGTAAAGCACTGTGCTGTATTGCTCTGTTTTCAGAGTCGCAGCACCATGGGGGATTATGGGTCTTCAGTGGCCACCAGGGGGCTCCTTCACTCAAACTCTCGACAAGTTTCTGTTGGATTCAGACCGCTGCATAAACCCAACTGGCTGCTGGTCAACAAGAAGGTAAGACACATTGGGGCTGTTGCTCTGTTGTTAGCTTAGCTGTGGTTTAAAACAACACTATCTTAGAGTTTATATTTGTTGCAGTTCCCCTGTGGCAAATATGGATAGCTGTCCTTTTTTATGATTTTATTATAAATGATCAAAAACTAGCGATTTGACAACTTTGCTAACACCGCCAAACATCAAGCAAGTTCAACAAACCAAGACACAGCAAGCCAACTAATATTACTGACTAGTCCAACATCAAGATGGCCAGCTCACCATCTGTCTGCAGCTTTTTATTTCACTAAGCTCTCGCCAACAACTAAAGCCTTGGTCACACTACATGACTTTCAAAGTGGTCAGTTCTCTGTACTGTTCACACTACACAACATTCTGTCTGTCCTTAAGTCTTGAAGTCATGGTTTTCACACTACATGACTAATCAGCAACGGGGTCTCACACACTACAAGATCTTTCACAAGGAGTAAATGGTAAATGGACTGCACTTATATAGCGCCTTTCTAGTCTTTTGACCACTCACTGCGCTGTAAACTACATGCCACACTCATTCCCACAGTCTGTCTGATCTCCAGGAGTCATTTACAATACCATTAATAACAAGTACATCATGTTAGATTAGGAAAATAGTTTAAAAACCCACACAAAGGGCAACCATTTACAGCATACTGCCGTTAGAAACTGAAAAATAAGGTGATAATTAGCCCGATCAACCAGCGTCTGTAATACACATTATTAATCCATTAATCAAACTATTAACTAACAGCGGTCAACGTCAGACAACATTAGTGGTGACAAAACGTTAAAAGTGATACATTTTAGCAGTTTGAATTAAACTAAAAGATCCCTGAGCCAAACTCTCTTTAATAAATATCACTTTTTAACAATTCCTAATGTGTCCGTAACAACATGTAACATGTATCTGTAACAACATGAAACATAAGCTACAGGCCATCATATGTCAACAGTGACTGTTAGTAGAACCCTTAAAGATAAACTGTATTTTGTATAAACTTTACTTTTGGTCGCCTCAGCTTTTCTGAACAAACTTGCTCAGTCTCTGTTGTAGCTGCGCTCTTTCAGTGGGAGAATACCATGGGAATGCGAGGCAGGCTGTGAAGCCCCTAAGGGTACATAGGCAACAGAAAAAAAACCCGCGATTCCATTTTTGCAACAGCAGGCAGGTAAGTTTGCGTGGACGAGGCTTGTTACAAAGCAGACATTAGAGGTGTTGAAATTAATCAAATAATCGATGCATCACGATGCAAACATGGACGATGCTGCATCGATGCAGTGGCTGGCCATAATCGATTATAACGCAATGATGTCGCTCGTTAATTTTCCGGCCGCGGCATAAACATTCAAATGAAAAATAACATTCTCAGTAGCCTAACCCGTTTCATCTAGACCAGTACTTCTCAAATAGTGGGGCACGACAGGCAGGGGGGACTGACGGAGGAGGAGAGATGGAGAGGTTTCTGACAGGAGTAAAAAGAAAAACGGAGGAGAGGCAAGAACAGCAAGTGACGGTAACCGGCAGAAACCTAATAAGAGCAGGAAATATGACAAAGCCTACATAGCCTTTAAGTTTACCGTGAATACGGTCGGAAATGAGGAAAGACCTGTGTGTGTTTTTATGTTTAAAAACTCTGGCAGCGGACAGCATGAAACCACACAAATTAAGACGGCACTTGGAGACCTTACACCCCAGTTCTGTCAATAAGCCACTGGACTTTTTTCACCGGATACTCGATGAGTATCGCCAACAGGCCGGTAATTTAGTGAGCGCAGCATCAGTAAATAAAAACGCACCGTTAGCCTCGTACAAACACCGCCACATCGCAAGGTGCAAAAAACCATCACACAATAGCAGAAGAGCTAATACATAGGTGAGAAAAGTGCTGAGACACTGAATACTGTCCCTCTTTCCAATGACACGATCGGGAGACGTGTGTGTGTGTGTGTGTGTGTGTGTGTGCTGTCTGCTGTGTTCAGACTGTTAAATAAAAAAGATTGTTTATATCTTACTACTTTTATTTTTGGATGAAAACAACCATATGAAGTAACATAGAAAACTGTATTATATTGAACTATACGGTATCTTAATGCATTCCGTCAAGGCAAATATCTTATATGGCTTTAATAGAAAAATGTATTTGAAGCATCGTGATGCATCGAGGAATCGAATCGAAGACGTGATAATCGTAATCGAATCGGGAGATCAGTGATAATTCACACCTCTAGCAGGCATCAGTCCTCAATAAAAAAAAATTAAAAAAGCATGCTAGACTGCTGTACAGAACATTAGAAAGTTTGATTGTGAATGAATCACAAAAAACAACTGGACTTTTTATAGCGATAGGAGATAAAACTTTAACGAGACTGATGTTGTTCCTGTCAGCACCGGGAAAAATGCCTGGCTGCCCAGTTCTTGTTCAGAAGCTTCTGTCTGACACCAGTCAGCCTGCAGACTGAACTGCTGCCCTACCTGGCCAAACTCACCCACCCTATGAGGAACCAAGGTACCAGACATACACACACAATACTGCATACGCTACCTACTCATAGTCCTCCAATAGAAAGTACATATAGTTTTCAAAAGATTTTGGAACAGGTGTAATCAACCTTTTAAATGAAAAGCTGCTACATTCATATCATCCTGTCTTTCTATGGTTGGTTAGTCTCCTGTCTCTGATTTGTTGGACAATATTGATCAAAGATGCTGCTAAATCTACTGTACTTGAATAGCGCCTTTCTAGTCTTCCGACCACTCAAAGCAGTTTACCCATTCACAGAGTGATGGCAAATCCCATCAAATGGAGTTAGAAGAGAGTTAGTTAGAAGTCAGATGAATGTGAAAAACAATGCACATACATTTTTCTGCACAGTGAAGATCAAACATCAGTTTCAACCACTGTAGGGACAAGGAGAAAAACACAGTTTTGAGTTGAGGGGGACTAATATAATATATATAATATATTAACATTTTAATGAAAAAAAATCATGTCAGCCACACTTTATTGTGCAGACTATTTGAATTTGTCGTACTACATGTCTGGAGGTGATCTTTAAATGATCATTTGTGTACAGTATTTTTAGGTGACATATTGCTTCATATTGGTTTGTCATGTTTGTCATCTCACCAAAATCAACAGAGCTTTGGTCATTTCAATGAGTGTCTTTTGATAAAAGTGTTGTGTGCTACACTGTCTCCCAGCTCAGATAGCTTTTATCCAGGACGTGGGTCAGATGTTACAGAGGAGATTCTCCGCCAGGTACACATTTTTATCTTCCTATAGGTGCTTGCATTTAGATTCAAGAGCGTCTGTGAGTCACAATTAGAGCAGCTATTAATACATTTTTATTTTAAATTATGAATTTTATTTCCCGCCATTATGAAAACAAGATAATTGAGATAAAACAATATTGTGTTGCATTATATTTCGCAACCATTTACAGTGGTGCACCCTCCCCACCCATGCTCTCAGACAGGCTGTGGTATGCTTGAGTTCAGCTTGAGCCAAGATGATGAAAAGAGAGCCAATATTGAGACCAAATCAGGATGTGGAGGTCAGTGCAGGTTTGAACGGTGTGGGTGTGTAACATCTTATCTTAGCTTAGCTTAGTTTAGCTTAGCAATAAATCCTCCTTACTTCTTTGCCAACATCAACTGTGTGACCATAGCTAAGTTAATAATAGCTTTGTGTCTGACTAGCCGCTGGGTGCAGCGGTATTATTTCTACAACTTGGCTAAAACTTGGATTAAAAAACCTTAAGAGTACTTGCGTGTCTTAAATATAGAATTATTTATGGGGGACTGCGGGCGCATACAAATGATCCCGACAAATGAGGGTTGGCTCAAACTCGTTCTGTTGGTGCAGAGAGACGTGATTCCTCAGGCCAAAACATAAACCTTTGTGTATTTGTCCAGGAGAATTTGTAATTATATTACATAAATAAAAACTAATAAATAAAACAAGGTAATTGTTTGTTGTGTGTGTGAACTTAAAACGATTGGTAGGGATTACATAAATATATCTTAAGCAAAAAGTGCACAAAATCTTGTGTTTTAAAGAAATGCAGATTAACTGCAATCTAGAGATGTTCATGTAAAGATACAAACTTTATTTTTTATTGGTAATATCACAGATTTAATTATGCCACATAATGCTGATAAGTACTACTGATAAGTCTGGAAATGTATCGTTGTTATTTAAAGCATGACAACTAGTACCATCACAATGTGATATTTGTTATGTTGAAATAGTTTTAGAATTGAAAGCTTTTTTTAATGTATTTATTTTCTTTGGTCTTCATTGTGTTTCCCGTACTACTGAGACCAAAGCTATGCCATTGACTACTATGGATACCTGTGGTTTAACCTTAAGCACTGATTTAGAATGATGTCCTGATAATGTAGATCTGTTATTGATCTTGTTTGTCTTAATTTCTCTCTTGGCTTTGTGTTTGTGCAGATTAAAACTGGAGGCTCTGACAGACAAAGAACCAGGCCAGCTGGAGACAGACACTGAGGAAGAGAAGGAGAAAGAGGAAGGTCAGGGTGCGGCTGAGGAGGGTCTGTTGGGCAGTCAGCCTCAACCTACTACAAACCAAGTCCTTTTGGAGGAGGAGGACCTGATCATAGAGGAATATACCAGTGACTAACACACACAGCCCTGTCATACATCTACTGCCATACTGTTCACTGTTAAATGACAGTCCTTCCAGGATTTCACAGGCTAATTTTGTAATTGTTGCGGCCAAATATACCTGATCTCACAGCAGCTTTTCTAAAGAATTGAGATGCATAATAAAATTGCTAGTAGTTTGGTGACGTATTGCTGAACGTTTTACGCAGGGGACTGCTATGATTGGTGAAACTCGCTGGAATGATTTGAATCCATGAAGAATTCACAGGGATTGGTTGAATTTGCATTTATTGTTGCAGTCACATCATTGCAACTGCCTGGAGGGACTGAAATGAGTTCTGAGATTCATTTTTGACATGTGAAGGAAAATATAACTTGTTACTGTTAAAAAAGAATTTCATAGAAATCTAACTTAAATTTACTTAAATTGTAAGATTCATCCCACAACTCAAATAATTATCCACATGACCTTATGTTGCTGACTCTGGTAATAGTTCTGGTATTTTTGCCTCATTGAGGTGTCATTTGTTCAAGATATTATAATTTTTCAAACAAGCTTGTTGCCTTGTAGAACCTGAATTGAATGTGATTCTGTAGCCTTTCAGAAGCTCCTAATACAATAGAAGCATGATGGGGATTTGTTGCAATAATCTCCTCAGATGACCCAGTTCAAATTTTGTCTGTATGTATTTGTTTTTGTACTTAACATGTTTTTGTTTTACTGAGTGACTGTTGAGCCTGGATCAACCTGTAATGGAGAACTGTCAAGGAATAAGCTCAGCCATTAACTGACATCTTTTTTGTTTCACTGTTTTCTATGGAGAGAAAATAATAAATAGTACATTTAATGCTTATTGAGAGATACCAAACCTAAATAAGTTTGTGAATAAAAACTGTGTGAAAAGCTGATCATGGGACTCTTTACTTGAAGAGTAAGGAGCGCTTACCCTCTCACACCCCTTCATCCAATATTTGCTTAACAAGCTCTCTTTAATATTCCCTCTGGTGATGGTGACTCACTCACTTCCTGCTGCATTTTTTATATATATAAATGTTTTAAATGTATCCAACTCCAATAACACTTGCAATGTTGCACTATGCAATTATTAGATACGGTTTAGAAATAAAGTTACAGGAAGTCTGTATAGGTTAAATGTCGTATTTCAATGAAATATATTTTGAGAAAAACATTTCCCGAAAAGTTTTTTGTTTTTCTTTATTGCAGAATAGAAATTGAACAGGCATTGTATATTTCAAGAGAAATACGGTTTAAGACTGAACCAGTATAATCAAAATGAAAAATGGCACAAGAACAAAAAAATCATAAAAGGTAAGAGAAATACAAATCCAAGTGAGGAGACAACTCTTGCAAAAATGTAGTAAAGCAAGGGGTGATTAAAAAAAAAAAGACATTTTTTATTTGGTAAATTTAAATTAAGCTACTTCTTTCAAACGTCGTGCTTAGCTTTTCTCTTAAAAATATGTTTATAGTTTATTTTGACGGTAATGACCGGAAGTAATCGTTGTTTCCGCTTTTAGCTTGATGCTGCCGGAAGTTTTCGGTCCCTGGAGGAAGGGTGTCACCGAGCAGTAGACGGGTTAATATGTGACACTTGTTTTTGCTGTCACTTGGAAGATAAAACAGTTTACTGAATTTTATTTTTGTCTGTGTGTCGGTGGAGAATCTAAAGCGCTAAGGAATATAAAGTTTGCTTCGAAGTTGCAGGTAAGAGGAAGTGATTCATAAAAACGAGTAATCATTAAAGGGAGGTTCCACTTTATATTAGAACCCACAGGTTATTCCTGTAGCTAATATGGTATAGTTCAGGTTTTGTCTGTGTCCCAGACTATAGTGATGTCATCTAGAGTCAAATCCAATGATCCATGGTTTTATTATTGTTATTATTGATTCAGTTAATTTAATACAAGTAAATAAAGGATAAATAAATATATAATAAAAAGAAACATGCAAACAAATAAATGAGAGATTAACATAAAACATCCCAGGGGTCAACATAAATAAATAGAAGTCACCTTAAGTTATTTATAGCTTCTGTAAAAAAGAAGGAAAAAAATAATTATCCAAGATAAACCTGCAGATATATTGCCTTACGGGTATGTAGACATTTCCGTAAATGATGGATGATAGTTTCAGTGTGGGGATCACAGGAGGTACAGCTTATATCAGGATCATTTTTGAATTGAACAAAAAAAGACTTAACTGGGTCACAATGTTTATAAAAATAACTTTGTCAGATTTGCTCTAATTTGTACTCAGACGCAAAAACATCTGTTTTCCACTTGATACAGTATCTGTGTATGGCATCTAAACTATTACCATTTTCAGCATTTATTTTCACAAACATCTAATTATAAAGGAAGCAATCAACTTGCTCCAAATGGCCACGTGTTAAGAACAAGTATGAACCTATTGTGACATCCTCCTTTGGTTTGTGGAGTACCAATTTGAAGCTTCAAGTTTGTCATCATGGTTGCCATGTTGTTTTCTTGCGAGCAGCAGCCACCTGCTCTGAACAGACATGGCCCCCAACAATGCTTCAAGCAGCAATACCTGGAGCCTGTTCTGAACGGGCACATGTTTCTATCAGGCATGTGATCCAAATGGCACTGCACTAGTTAACAAACAACTGACAGCTTTGGCTAAATGTACTGTATATCATTTCTGCTGCTAAGGGGTCTTTCACATAAAAACAATAACAAAAGACAAAGTTTGATGATGTTGTGAAGTAGCGTGGGATTATGGGATTTGTTGTCTTCTCCTCCATTGCTGACATTGCAGTCAGCTTCTCCCAGTTAGGATTCCTTTAGTGTACAAGTACACAACCTAACTACATATAGAACATAGGGCTACTGTTGATAGACATTTTAATGTGGAAATGTTTAGGGCTGCAGGATATGGTAAAAACATCATATTGGGATATGATTCACAATTATGAATGATAATTTTTGCATCACAAATGTATTTATTTGTTGAGGAGGGCATCAGTGCAGAACAACAATACTTCATTTTAATGCTGTTTTGTCACACGGTTTACCTTTATCAAAACATTGCAGCTTATGCGTTTTCCATTTTGATGCTGCAATTTGCATATTGCACATGGCCATATTGCCATTTCGATGCTATTTTGATGCGCAGGCCTAGAAATGTTACATATTATAGCTTCAACAGAACACATGTTCCTGTGAGTTGGTAGATAACCTGGGCAACAGCAATAAGTTCTTGTAGGTGTCCCAGGCTTTCCCTTTGAGACATAACCAGACATTAATGTCAGCATTTGTCTGATCCAGCTAATCTCTGCGAATCTCTGCAAATCATTGTGGGTTAATTTTTCTTTACTTTCATATTTGTATAGTGACAGTATCAAAACTTATGAAAAATGTGGAGTGGATGCTGAATACAATATTTTTAATTTGAGTGTAGGTGCTATGTAAGATCATATCATCTAATGGAATGCAATAGCACTAGAGGCAACTGAGAAAATTTGTTTTTTGTGTTTGTTTTTGGCTAACAATTTAAGTTGTACATTTGACCTGGTGCAGATGCAGGAGGTAAGTGAGGCCAGCAACTTGGATGATGATATGGTGGATGGAGACCTGGGTGATGGCATGGGAGTCAGAGCAGCACCCAACTCTACAAGGAAGAAGAGTCAAAGCGTTGCTGGTGTCACAGAGATCCTGCTGCCTGGAGCAGAGCGGCATAGGAACAGTAGCCAGACAGGAGATGCTGTCTGGATCCCTGGTCTGAAGACTGCAGAGACACAGCAGAGAGCCCGCTGGAAGCTGCCATGCTCTGGTAAGAATGTCTGTGAACTGGTTCTTAACTGTAACAAAGGAGTTAAACAAGAATCAAATGATAAAGGCAAGATACCATCAAATTCTCATAAAATCTTACCTTTGATTGAAATACAGTAGCAGACATGAATTCTACAGAGGTAACAATACAGTCAACTCACAATTCAAGAAAACACACACACACTCACATTTTCTGTGACCTCTAATGCACAAGTGCACTTTTTGTGAATCAGCAGGCTCCCTAGCTGAGCTGTCCAAAGACGAGCTGAAAGAGAGACTACAGGAAGCAACTGAGGTAGTGAAGAAACCTATAATTTTGTCCACTTAACTCCAGCCTGGCAAACTGTAACTGATGGCTCTGCTGTGTTGACAGGTGATAGATGTACTGTGCTGTGAGCTGGAGGTGGCACGTCGGTACCTTGAAGGCAAATATGAAGCTCTGAAGATCTTACAAGGGAAGGTAGATACCTTAGTGTTTTTTTTACTTGTGAACCCTAAAATCGAGCAATGTCCACTTGCAACTCGCAAATGTTGTTCATCTTCAAGACAATGGTGGCCTAACAAATGTGAAGGGAACTGCACATAGACTAAATATAAGGTAATGGGCGGATCTGATACCTAGTGTGACACTGCCTGCTGACTTCCTAATATGGTAAAGAACAACAGAAATAATAAATAAACATTACTCCATTTGACCCAGTATAATCTTAATAAAAATTGTACATTAACAAAAGAAAAACGGTTTTCTGTATTTATCACCATATATAAATTCAAAATAATTAATGTCTGACCCGGACGAAACATGGGAAGCAAAAGCCTAATCCCAATGTCCAATCAGACAAGTTAACTCAAGTCAAGTCAACTTAACTTAAATAGTCCGATGGTGACTAATAAACCTGCGTTTAACAGGCTATTGATAATAATGCACACGTACAGCATTTAAATATGTGAGGGAAAATAATAAACATAACTTATGTTTACCAACGCAACTGCTATACACAAAGGTAGACAACCCTAACTTCTCCAGTGGAATTGCTCAGTGGCTGGCAGATCAGACTGGTTATACTGGGCAGCTTCCAGTTGTGAATGTGTAACTGTAAGAATGTGATCAGGGCGTTCCTGAGTGAACCTTCTCTAAATAAATAAAGGTTAAAAAAAACTGTTGCTGACGCTTCCAGGCTGCTATTTTGTCATATCATCTGCCTCAGTCTTGTTGCACGTCTCTCATCTGTTTCTACTGTCAACTGTCGAAGGCAAAAAAGCCAAATACTGCTCATTCAAATACTTATGAAGCATGTGAGTAAAAGATTACATTGGGATAGAAATGATGGTCAAAACTATGTAAATAAGGTAAAAAAGAAACAACTAAAAACTGTTCTCCTTTTCACAGGCCATTCTTGACAAAGCCACGAGTCACACTAAAAGTCTGTTGCAGAAAAGTGAGGAGAAGGCCAAAGGTCTGGAGAAGGTAAGTGTAAGTGCAGGCTGTTTAAATAAGTCTGTTTGCTCTAACATCCTACAACAGGTTACTCAACAGTGACGACCCAACTGATCTTTCCTTTTCAACAAGGACAAAAGGAAAGTATAATGCCACAGGGAATGGTGGTATAGTGAGTTACATTCTGAATGATTTCAACTGGTGATAGGGAAAGTCTACTAAGTTAACAAAGTCTATGAGAAATATCTGAAAATATGAAATAGGTCAAGAATGATGAATGAAGCAGAATTTGTCAAATGTATATTTAAACATAGAAACCACATACATTCAACATAATTAACCAGGGCCCTGTTTGTGTATATTGCTAACTGAGTTTGAGTTTGAGCTTAACTGTTTGACACCAGCCAGAATTAGATTTTTTCCACAAATTTTACCAGTCACTGTAGTTTCCTGTATGTTTGACCAATCAGAGCAGCCATGTCATACTTCAAACTACTAGAGATTTTATTCTAACAAGTTGCCATTGACTTAATGAATTATATAAAATGCTCCAATTTAGCAATTTTCACTTTTGCCTACAAAGATCACAACATCAACGCAATTTCATCACAACAATTTCTAGACAAGACAAAATCCTAGAGTGACTGATAAGGGTCATTGTAGGTAAAAAAAAAAAAAAATATATAAATATATTGGAGACGAGGAAGGGGGATAAAGGATGTTTTGAATGTATACATAGATTACATTTAACCACCAATTATTTACAACTGGTAACAACAAACAGAAAGTGAAAGTGAGCAATCATAAGAGGACCACTACCTTCCTTGGTTTCTACCCCAACTTTTCATAAGTCAACTTCAGCGTGTAGGGGCGGCTGTGGCAGGATGTATAGTGGGTCATCCACTAATCAGAGAGTTTGAGGTTTGATCCCCGGCTCCTACTGCTGCATGTAAGAGTCCTTGAGCAAGATACTGAACCCAAAATTGCTCCCAATGCTGTGTGAATTAATTATTTTCTGTTCTGATGAGCATTTGCCAATGTGTGTAAATGAGTGAATGTGATATGTAGTGTTAAGTGCTTTGAGTGGATGGAAGACTAGAAACATGCTTTAGAAGTGCAGTCCATTTACCATGATTGCTCTCTCTTGCGTGGCTGCTTTGTGGTACCATTTTTTTCCCCTCTGTCTATGCCTCTTGGTTGTTGAATTTGTGCATGAGGACTTTTATTGTATGAGTTGCAGTTAATATCTCCATCTATGAAATAATATAATTTGCAAGCATGTTTTATCACAGTTGTGACATGACTGAGACCACAGAGAGAGAGATTGCATATGTACAGAAGTACAGATGAAAAGCAAAAAATGTTCATTTGATCATGAAGCCTCTTTAATTTTCAAGTTTATCAGTGAGGTGTATTAACTACACTGCAGACTGTTAACAAAAAGATAGTCAGCTGTTTCATAAAAAACGAGTCATCTGCAAGTTCAATGTTCATTGCTTGACCCAAGTATGTGCTCGTCTCCTGTATGAAATGGCTGTATCCTCATTGTCCTGACTCATAACTCAAAATTCACAACATGGGGCTTGACTTGGGTCTTGTCAGTCTTGACTTTTTGACTTAACTTTGACTTGAAATATTCTAATCATGATCTGTTGTTTCCATCTCTTGCAGGAGGTGAACAGCTTGCAGTGGGAACTCAGCTTCAACCAGGTCCAGATGAAGAAGTCTCAGCAGTCCTGGGAGCAGACATACAATAGGTTGGATTTACTTCACATATCACGTCTGTGGTATTGTCACTGGTTTGTATTGTAACTTTATTGTTGTTGTATTCAGAATTTTGAGTGAGAACAAGACTGTGACTGCCAACCTGGAGGAAAGAGAGAGTGAGATCCAGCAGCTCCGAGCAGAAAATTCAGGTATGATAATGTAGATTCATTATGAGGTGAGCTAGAAATGTCTGCACATATTATCTCCATCTGTGAAGTGAAGTGCATCATGCTGCTCCTAACCCTCAGTGTGTGACTACCCCCTTTCCACCAATGCAAACCTAGTGCTAGCTCCGGGCTGGTGCTCATGTTGGTTCAGAGTTGGTTCAACCTGAGAACCTTCTAAGAACGGTTTGTGTTTCCACAGACTAGAGAGCCACGTCATCACGTCACTGTATATATCTTCATAAACTATTAACAAGGTTACTCCCGCTGGCTAGCTAGCTGTTGTTCAGCTTACATTACCCGAGCAAGCATACTACTAATTTCTCAATTTTACTAACCTCGAACATAACACAAGTTACGAACAATGTTATGAACAAAACATTGATGTGAGAAATTAGTAGCTGTGCTTGGTTGGGTAATGATAGCTGACAGCTAGCTAGCTGTTTGTCAACTAGCTCAGTGTTAGGCCCGTAACATCTGTGTCGTGTTCATAATATGAGAAATTAGTAGCTTGATAAACAGATTAACCCTGAACCAGCCCTCAAACTGCCTTGGTGGCAAAGGGATACAAGTCACCAACCGTCAGTGACATCTTGACTAAATAATCTTAACCCATGGCCCACTTACTAGCTTTTTCCAGAGCTTTCAACCAAACCTTGTGGTCTTTTGTCAGCAAATGGAATTGACTTAGTCGTCATCACAAAGATTATGTGTGTTTGTGTTTGCAGCTCTAAGTCGGCAGTACTTGGAGCTTCTTTCCATGTTGAATATGAAGGAGCAGAGAGCTTACCAAGAAACCAAACCTCAATACAGCCCAGAGAGAGATGCAAGTGTTCTGGAGGTGAGAGCGCTTCAATCAAGAATACATATATTTATAAATATACAGCGGGTAAAATAAGTATTGAACACGTCATTTTTCTCCGTAAATATATTCCTAAAGGTGCTATTGTCATGACATTTTCACCAGATGTCGGTAACAACCCATGCAATCATCACATGCAAAGAAACCTAAATAAATAATTTCAAAAATTAAAGTTATGTGTAATAAAGTGGAATGACACAGGGAAAAAGTATTGAACATGCTTACTGAAATGTATTTAATACTTTGTACAAAAGCCTTTGTTGTAATGACAGCTTCAGGACGCCTCCTGTATGGAGAAACTAGTTGCATGCATTGCTCAGGTGTGATTTTGGCCCATTCTTCTGCACAAACAGTCTTCAAATCTTGAAGTTTCCATGGGCCTCTTCTATGAACTCTGATCTTTAGTTCTTTCCATAGATTTTCTATTGTATTCAAGTCAGGTGATTGGCTGGACCATTCTAGCAGCTTTATTTTCTTTCTATGAAACCAATTGAGAGTTTCCTTGGCTGTGTGTTTGGGATCATTGTCTTGCTGGAATGTTCACCCTCGTTTAATCTTCATCATCCTGGTAGATGGCAGCAGATTTTTATCAAGAATGTCTCTGTAAATTTTTCCATTCATCGTTCCTTCAATTATATGAAGTTTGCCAGTGCCATATGCTGAAAAACAGCCCCACACCATGATGTTCCCACTCCAAATTTCATTGTTGGTATTGTGTTTCTGGGGTGACGTGTGTATTTGACCTCCAAACATGCTGTGTATTATGGCATCCAAAGAGTTGAATTTTGGTCTCATCTGACCAGACTATATTCTCCCAGTATTTCACAGGCTTGTCTAAATGTTGTGCAGCAAACTTTTAACACGCTTCAACATGCTTCTTCTTCAGCAATTGAGTCTTGCGCGGTGAGCGTGCATATAGGCCATGGCGGTTGAGTGCATGACTTATTGTTTTTTTTTTTTTTAAACAGTTGTACCTGCTAATTCCAGGTCTTTCTGAAGCTCTCCACAAGTGGTCCTTGGCTCTTGGACAACTCTTCTGATAATTCTTTTCACTCCTCTGTCAGAAATCTTGCAAGGAGCACCTAGTTGTAGCCAGTTTCTGGTGAAATGATGTTCTTTCCACTTCCGGATTATGGCCCCAACAGTGCTCACTGGAACATTCAGAAGTTTAGAAATCCTTATGTAACCAATGCTATCAGTATGTTTTTCAACAATAAGGTTGCGAAGGTCTTGAGAGAGCTCTTTGGTTTTACCCATCATGAGATGTTTCTTGTGTGACACTTTGGTGATGAGACACCTTTTTATAGGCCATCAGTTGGGACTGAACCAGCTGATATTAATTTGCACTGCCAAGTGGCAGGATTGCTTTCTAATTACTGATAGATTTCAGCTGGTGTCTTGGCTTTCCATGCCTTTTTGCACCTCCCTTTCGTCATGTGTTCAATACTTTTTCCCTGTGTCATTTCACATTATTACAAATAATTAAATTTATTTATTTATGGTTTGATTTTGTGTGGATTGCATGGGTTCTTACCAACATCTGGTGAAAATATCATGTCAATAGCACCTTTAGAAATATATTTACTGAGAAGTATGGTGATGTGTTCAATACTTATACCTGCTGTATATTTATATTTAGTCATGAGAATTAAGTCAAGAATAAGACAAAGGCTTTACATTCAGTTTAGTTACCTCACAGAATGTCACCTGTCAACTGTCACCAGCGCATTTAGCTGGATACATATATACCACATGGAGCAAAGATAAGCTGTACCCTTTTGAGCCACCATTTTGGAATATTCATTGTTTAGGCACAGTATTAACTGAAATAACAAAGCCCTTAAAACTAGGGTTTTAACCCCTCTACAAAACAGGACCTCAAGATCACTAGGAGGTAATATTACAGGTGTGTGTGGTCCAGTGTGTAACATTTAGGATTCAGCTAGGGTTGAGCAAGTATTTGGCTGAAACAAGTATCCTGTACAGATGATGTACTTTTTAGAAGTACAAGTATCAAGGAAGTAAAATGTGTCAATATCCAACTTTTATTTAAAAATAAAATCCAAAACATTGCTATCAAGGTGAATTCTAAGGCTGTTCTGCAAATAGTTTTCTAATAAATAGAGCAACTTCTGATCAACCCATATCAATTTCAGGCTTAAAGGAACTTCTTGTTACCCACGCCCACTAATGGTTAAAACGCTGCCTGCCTCTGGTTTAATTCCTGCCCTCTCAGAGTACAGATACACATACAGATAATTATTTGGTTGAACAGATACACATACAGATAATGGTGTTGTCGCTGATCTCTAGTGTCCGCCATGTTGAACCGCCATGTTTCTACAGTAGCCCAGGAGTGGCAAGATATGTATTCACATTTTTCACTCATTTCATGACCATCGTAATTTCTCCCTTGCATTTGGAAGGGGAAAGTGAAGTGAAGGAGCTGAAATCTACATGTAGTAGTAGTTTTTCTTGCGTCACAGGTTTTGGGACCCCCTATGGGTGTGGGGCCCTGATAATAAAGCCTTTTCTTACTAATTTTCTTTAGGGGGTTATGTTAACATCTTAGCAAAACTTCTGTATATCTCCTCACAGTAAACTAACTTTCCACTGTGTGTTTCACTCTGTGTAAACACAATGTTTAGTGTGTAGGATTTAGAGTCATCTAACAGTGAAGTTGCAGATTGCAACCAAATGAATACGGCTCTCTTTCCGAGTGTGGAGGAGAAACTATGGTGGCTGCGAAAAATGTAAAAGGCCCTATTTAAGCCAGTGTTTGGATTGTCTGTTCTGGGCTACTCTAGAAACATGGCAGTTCAACATGGCGGACTCTGTGGAAGAGGACCCCCTCCCGCTGTAGATAAAGGTAAAGGTCTCAAGGTAAAGAGACACAATCTTTTTTTTCAGGCAATTACACATAGAGGTGGAAATTGAGAATTGGTTCCAAGCTTATCAGTTCCTTTTATTGATTGATGTGTTTCTGATAGTTGTGCATTGCAAAACAATGACATCAAACTCATGTGTCTATGCTGCGATGGTCCAAAGCGTTTCTTTATTTAACTAAGAAAGATGACACTCGTGATATAATAATACCTATGAATATTGTATTCCATTTCTTCCAATAGATAATTCTAAATGTTACACACTGGACCTTGAAGTATCATTTATAAGTAACTTGTACTTCTCAGGAGTTGACTGATCTTTTCTGTGTCTGTCAGATGGCAGTGTTGGGGGCCTGTCGGTGTCTTGGTATCACTGAAGCTTGTCCATGCAGTCGGACTGCTGCTGCCAGCAGAAAGCAGCTTATCCAGCTACAACAGGAGGTAAAGTACATTTAACCCTTTTAAGGGGTTACTTGGTGCCCTATCTTTATGAAGATGAATAATCTTTCTCTACTGACTGCTCTTTCAATTATTATTTTTTTTTATAGTAACTCTCAATAAACATGAGTTTGAAAGACTGTAAATATATGTTAAGACATGTGCGTGCGTGTTTTCCAGCTTGATGCTCAGCGTTCGAGGAGAGAGGAGGCAGTAATGGTTGCAGATGCTTTTCGCATCGCCTTTGAACAGCAGCTGAGGAAACGAAGCGAGCACTTCCTGCTGCTGGCCGAGGCCAACATTCTGAAGTCCCATCACTGTAGGGCTGAAGGCAAGTCTGCTGTTAGCACAGTATGCTACATCAGATCAAAGTGGATGGTTAGGTTAAGTTGACCCTCAGACTGTCGGCTCTGCCCATAATCTGTGAATTTATAAACCTGATACACCTATCTGTACCCTTACTGCCCTAAATGAGAGGTCTGAACTCAAGTTGTTAAATTAAATGGAATTTATAAATTCATTCTGGTGTACAGAAAATCATTAGGGCAAATGCGAATGCATCACAGAAATCGATGTCTGAATGAATGTGTATGAATTAATTAGTTTCCATTTTTGATGAGCAGTTGGCACTTTGCATGATAGCCAGTGCCATAAGTGTATGAATGTGAGCGCAAATGGGTGAATGTGACACATATTGTAAAGTTTTTTGAGTGGTCAGAAGATTAGGAAGGTGCTGTACAAGTACAGTTCATTTACAATTTACTTTTTCTTATTTATGCTTGTACCCGAATCAAACATTCATGACTTAACTGCCAAGATAGCACAGCTATCTCCTTCTCCTCAACCTAGCTCTTTTCACTTGCAGTCGCTTCTGAAGCTCAGCAGCTTCCTCTGCTTCTCTGTAAAATATACCAACAGTAGCTGCTAATATTGCCCAGGTTAATTTTTTAACAAAATGTAAAGGTCTTAGATCCTAAGGTAGATGACACACCGAATGTCATGTTAGTGGATGAGAGCAGGAAACTAGGAAAGTTTTGCCGTGCTTCCATTCCGTGGACTGTGCTGTCTGTCTGCCATCTGCCTGAATCCATGTGAATGCAGGAAGAAAATTATTTTACATTAATTCTTTTAATCAAACATGAGCCACAAACAGTAGCCCTTACCGTATTTCTGTCCCTTTACTTTGATTTGCCTAAAAATAATACTGGAGAAAAGAACACAGTGCAATGTAAAATTTTGTAATTTATATTCTACAGCTCGGACTGGTAATGTTGTGATCGATACAGCCATGTGATCGATACAGCCATGTGATACAGAGGAGACGTATTTTTGAATATACTCCAGTGTGAATAGTCATATACTTAATTGTTTATTTAGTAGGCAGAATGCAGTACATAGTGATGGAGTATGCTCCTGGCAGTATGTTAATATGTGAATTTGAACACACTGTCACCTTTTCCCCCATGAATCTATAAATAATCCTTTATTCCAGAGCCTCATAATTCCCATTCATTGGAACCATTAAAAAGTGTATGTGTTTTCCTTCCAGGTGTTAACGGGAGTCCTCTAATCAGTGTAAGCCAGAGGTTGAGACGATTGCTGCCCTCCAGTTTAGAGGTGAAGATGCCTGATGATCTTTTAGAGACTCTCTACAGACTGCTGGACTTGGTTAGTAGCTCCTAACATCTGTAGGCCTGCTATCTAGATATCAAAACATAGAGACTGTATTTACTGGGGAGGCACTTTTATGTTTGATTGGGGAGGTTGACCCTGTGCATTTGCATTGTGGCGTCCACCCCATGAACTAGAAAATAAATCCAACACCTTCCCCTTCCTAGTTCATGCCACATGTTCTGTTTTCTAAATGGCTGCAGTCCATCCAGACCATAAGGTGGAAAGGAAAGAGACCCAGCTGTCAGCTGAGTGTACATAGGCAGGTTTTTCCAGCTGCTCTAATTCCTCTGCTTCCTCTTCAGTTTCCTCATTTCAGTGTTGGCAAATTCAACACAAACTTTCATCATATTCTGGCCTTCTCCTGCTCTCTGCAAATACTTGACGTATTTTTACTCTTCAATCAATAAATAAATACGCAATTAAACGCACCAAAATAATAAATATAGGCATGAATTAATTTTATGTGTGATAAACAAATATTTCTGTTTTAATTTGCTGTGTATTTATTTACCTTTGCATTAATTCCCCTATTTATTTACTCCTATTGAATTTTTTGTCTTACTGTGTAACATCTAGGAGGATCTATTGGCAGAAATGGAATATAATATTCATTGGTATGTTTTCATTAGTGTATAATTAGCAGAAAATAAAATAATGGTTTTGTTACCTTAGAATGAGCTGTTTATATCTACAGATGCCATGGGTCAATGGAGTCTGCAATGTTTCTACAGTAGCCCAAAAGGGCCAAACCAAAGTCATACCTAACATAATTCCTGATATTATATTTAATTTCTGCCAAACAAAATCCTCCTAAATGTTACACACTGGGCCTTTAATTAAAGAAGAAAATCAAGAGAAGAGATGTTAAAAAATGACTAGACAAATATACTAAGCCAGCCACTGATTCAACAATCATTAGAATTCATGCTCATCTTCACTGTAAGGGGACCAATGGTATATTACAGAACTGAATTCTTGAATGTGTAACTTTCGTCATTTATCTGTTCATGATATAAAACAGTATTTTTGCTTCACTTTAATACGAGAACCACCAGGGGTCACTGTATACCTAAAACCAACAAGAGATAAAATTTAACCACTGTTAGAATGCATTGATTTTCAAGGTACAAGGAGTCGGTGATTTGTTAATTTTTCAGGTTGAACCCAATGGGAGCACCCCCCTGTCCCCACACCACCAGCATTTTTCAAATTAACTGAAGCAGCTGAGTGCCCTGCATGTTCATTTCCTTTCATGTCACATTATCCGCTCCCTCCCAGGTTACACCAAACATCTATAGTCTGTAGTCACGTCTCCTCTAAAATATTGTGTTACAGAGGTTGCTTGGTCTGGGGGAGTATTTTCAGCTAGATACTATAGGAATGTTACAAACAACTCTGTATCTATCATGCTTTTCAGCAGCTATACGTTGCTACTTGTCACTGTGATCATAGGGGTGACGCTACTCTTTAGGGTATAAAGGCTACAATATAAAATTTAGTATATACATATAATATATAGTTATAGTATATAGAATATCATAGATCCAAGACAAAACTGACCTCTTCAAGCAATGCATTGAGCAAGTCTGATGTTAGATTTGCATGCCAAACTCTCTTACCCATATTCAACATTAATTTCACTTCAGTGTCCATATTGAAGGTTAACCTATGACTTATGACCCAGGTCCACACATGTTAGTAGACAATAGGCAAAAGCAACATAGAATGTTTATCTAAACGGTCAAATTCATAGCACAGAAATGACTGCATTCTATATAGTGGTTAATTTTACCTGCTGGCGCTTACAGGTATAAATGCCAATTTTTTAAATTTGGCTTTATGTTGATAATTCTTAACAATAAAATGTGCTACATAACACACTTTTAGGAAAAATCAAAGACTGACTTTTATTACAAATTATATAGAATAAAAAAAGGTACATTTTTCGTCGTTAAGTTATTGATGGTGTGTTTCCTGCTGCAGCTGAATGACAAGGAGGAGGCCCTGGCCCACCAGCGGAAGGTGAGCATCATGTTAGCCCACAGTGCTGAGGAGCTGCAGAGACAGTTGCATCTAGATTCACATTGCAGGCCATCAGATCCGTCACAGTCAAGGATTTCATCAAAACAACCGCAAGACCCATCAGAGAGACAGTCTCTGCAAACATATGATACATCGGAGTCCAACATCCAAGCACAGCAACATGTAGAGCTGCCAGACCTCCAGCTTCAGCCAAGACAACCATCATGTCTGCCAGAGTCCACAACTAAACCACAGGAGTCTTGATCCACCCATGGGATCTCCATACCTCAGGCACAGAAGTTGGGGTTTCATTCTAAAAGGACATAAGAAGATGTGGCTGTAGCATCTGTGCTGTCACACAGAGGCTGAATCTGAAGGTATGGTATGAAAGTGTATGATTTGACCGCTATTAGCTACTAAATACCCAAATGTGGTCCCCAAAGAGGAAGGGCAATAGAACTGGGTGGGACAACAAATTGGCAACTGCTGAAACACCCAGCTCCACAAACACAGGTTTTACAGTGAGATTCAAATTTACAAGATAGTGTTTGAAGCACCAAGCATATGAAGATACAGGTGTCCATTATCAACTTCCCAAACCTTGTGAAGGTTCTTAAAGTAGGTGTTACTAATATAAAATCAGGTCATCAGGTTTTAAAGTTAAAAATTGTTTTAATAGTTAGAAGAAAATTCTCACCAGTTTTCGTGGTTTTTTACTTTGAAAATCATAAGCGAAGACCAGTCATGAGTGGCTAGTGTAGGAGAAGGAAGGGTTCCTGTTCATGTCTGATTTAATGGTCCAGTGTGTAATTAATGAAATATAATATCTATACCATAGGTATGTTTTGCATAAACACCTGGAAATAAATGTACTTTATTGCACCTTTCTCGACTACACAAGGCGCTGTACACTAAAGGTAGTGGCTGCAATGCAATGTGCCAACTGCTCACCAGAACGGAAACTAAGCATTCACACACAGTCATACACCGATGCACAGCATCGGTATATGCTTTGGGGTTCAGTATCTTGCTCAAGGACACTTCGATGTGCAGCGAGAGGAGCCAGAGATCGAACCGCCAACCTTCCAATTAGTGGATGACCCGCTCTACCTCTGAGCCACAGCCACCCACAAGTAAGAATTGTTGTGAATCTACAAACCAAACACTTGCTCTAAATAGGACCTTTCACATTTTTTTGCGAATTAAACTGCCACCTCCTACATGCTTGTAAGGCTGAGTTAAAGGCAAATGGTTGCAGCAGGTTCACCTTTAGATGCCTCTAAATCCTACACACTGGTCTTTTGAGGAAAGAAAGGACAATCAGCCTCCATGTCCTTACCAGGACACAGTGAGAGATATGAAAATTGCTGGCTGGTCTGTGAATCTTTGACTAAGTTTACAATATAATTTATTAGAGTTAAGAAATTAATTATAAGTACTGAAGTATTACTAGTAATCATACTTATTTTGTAGAAAATTGACCCCAGTAAAAGATTACATCATTAATACTGATTCATCTGTGCATAAGAAGCACTTAACTGTTGTACTTTGTTAAGGTCGAACTAGTTTATTGCTTTTTATACCATGGTCTGGATAAATACTTTGTCAGATTGGCTGCAGGGTGTCTGATGTAGGACACTTACCAGGTAGTTCCAGTGAAAGTGTCTGTTTACCCTTCCTAATTAATATGCTGAAATAGACTAAATGAAAACTAAATCTGAATATCTCAATAATATATCTAAGTGTTGTCCTTCAGTGTCTTATCCTCTGAACACCACAGGATGGACCCTGTAATACACAAACCCCTACACTCTGAACTTACCGACTATTTTAAGCAGTTCAGTCACTTCCTGAAAATCTCTGCAGACTTTCACAGTAAAATACATCAATAAAAAAATGCATAATACAGACAGATGATTGTATAAAAAGTTCCTAAAACGATCAGTAAATCTGATATCTGATGCTTACTGCAGATAATCTGCTCAATATCCATCGAAATTGTTCTTTTTACACAAACATGTAGTTTCTGTTTGGACTCATTGTGTTCTCTGGGCATGGCCACCATTTCACAGCTTCAGTCTAAACTTAATGTGAACAAGGTAGGTTACAGAGGGTCAGCAGAACTGACATTTATGCTAGTATCATAGTCCTTCTTCCTTTAGTCTCTTTAGCACTCACAGAAGGTACTGCTCATGTTCCTTATCAAGTGATAACATCATTGAGGTAGACCACAACTTCCAGCAGGTTCATATCACCAACAGTCTTCTCCATAAATTGTTGAAATGTGGCAGGTGTCCAATTCCCTGCGCCATTCATTCAAATGGATAAAATCCTGCTTGGCAGATGAATGCAGTTTTTTGTTTATCAGCAGCAGTTAAATGGATCTGATAATAACCACTTCTTAGTTCAAGCATGCTGAACCACTGGCAGGACAGGACATCTTCCACACAAGGGGCTGTGTATTGTTCTCCTGTTTAACCTCCTATATGGATGTATCTGACCCAAAACCATGGATATAAATTGGCATCTCTTTACTGTCAGAGAGAGAAAGCTGAGACAGATCCTGACCAAATACATATTCAGTGACCACAGTCTCACAATAGAGAAAGACAACACAAGAAGTCCTGGCTACAGAGGAAAGAGTCGGTGGCCGCTGTATGACAGTTGAGGTGGAGACAGAGATGCCCTTCCTCTTAAAATGTGAAAAATATAACAATATCAGATTGGAAAATTAAATTGAATTCAGTAATTCCAAACTTTTATTTAAAATGACCATGAAAAACAACTGCTTCTATTAGGAGAGGGATGCAGTTAGCTGCACAATATGTGACTGCATGTCACAAACTAAGGGACAGTAATAAAAATGTCATAACTGAATGTGACAAGTTAGAATCTCAATCTTATTATAAATAAATATGGAACACACACACACACACACACACACACACATTGTCTTGTAATTTTTTATTATTTTATTTTACTCAGTGAATTGCATTCTTTATTAATTGTATTTTTTCTTTTTTTTTCATTTTACCAATGGATTGGCAATATTGTTTCTGACATTTAGTGAGTAGTGGTGAGAGTATGAGGTGATTTTGCAGCACTGAAGGATCATTTGCTGTAAAAAATCATCATAAGCAGCATAAGAAAGTACATAACTATTTGTGTCTTTCACTGTATATGTGTATCTGAAAGAGACTGAAATATATGTGAATCATCTGTAAATAAAGCAATATCGCCCGCCCCCTCCTGGTTAGGCCCAATCAATAAAAAACAGTGGGCATGTAGATAATAAAACCCCATATAATCCTTGTGTTCTACAGAGATTCCTTCCCCATTCCTTCATTGTTTTCCTGCTGTATGTGTAAAAATTAATTAAATGATTTTAAAATCTTTTGTTTTTTTAGATTTCTTCTGCCCTGTTACATTACATTTTTTTTAATGCCTTAAAGTGATGACTCCTTCCCTTTCACATTTGAGGGGAGTGAGAAAATACAGAATACCCTTAAAGCATTGTTATTGCACCAAATAAGGATTTATTTCATGTTTATAGGTTATAAGGTCTATGGACAGATAAACATTTCTTTTGGTTACCAAAAAGTAGTTCACAGGCAAATCTCCAGTTAACCCGAGTGACAACAACAGAAGTCCCAATAGGAAAGCTATTCATCAGATCAATCTCACTTAACTTTCACTGTTATTCAGATGATACCCAGTTATATCTATCAATCAACTCTGATGAAATTAATAAATTAGCTAAGATATAGTTACTTCAGATGGTATTACCTTGGCCTCCAACAACACCATCAGGAATCTTGGAGTTATCTTTGATCAGGATATGTCCTTCAACTCCCACATAAAGCTACTATAGGACTGCATTTTTTGCAAAAAACTGTACTTTGTTAGTATGTTCTTAAACTTAAAAATGTGAAGCAACAGTTGCTGCAATTGGTGTCTGGGGATGGGGTAGTGGGGGAAGTGTTTTTTATTACTGTTTTTTTCCCCCAACTTTATTGACAAGTGTAGTAAAATTCTATCCTTTGATCTCTGACATCAGATTGTGTAGCAACAGTTGCTAAGCTGCACTTACTTTGTGGGGGTGGGGCTTAGTGACAACATTCTTACCTTAGGATTTTATTTGTACTTATTACTCTGCCAGAGAACATGCACACATGATATTACAGATACTTTCAAAGATCAACATGACAATGGAAGAAGACAACAATAACTCTCTCACCTATAATTCTAGAGAGGAATTAACTTTTGAGGTCACAATCAAAGGCAATATCCACAGATTACATGCTGATACAGGATCTCACTGGTCACTTCTGACAGCAGACTCCTTACCGACATCTGAAACGACTTTTACAACCACTGAGGTTTCGGGTGAGCAGGTTGATTTTAATATGACATGCATGTGCCTTGTTGAATGCTTTGGTGTATCAAAGGTATACCATAGATTTCTCATTCACCCAGAATGCCAAAGTAGCATGCCCAATTTGGCAGGAGGGCCGTTATTATGTGCTTTGGGCTTGACAATTACTTGCACAGAAAATGGGATTATACTGAGGAAATCTGAAAGAACCAGTCCCATTGTGAGATTGAAGCATTTTATTACAGGTTTTTTCCAATGTTGTCAAGTTTACAAGCCTGCCACTTTCAACATCATAGTCCATGGAAAAACATACAAAATGTTGGTTGATACAGGAAGTGACTTTTCGGTACTGAACTCACCAGGTGCAGCCCTTCAGATGTCTCAAAAAACTGAAATTGGCTTTGGAATATTGGGAAAGGCAATTCAAATGCAATTCACTGAACTGACTCCAGTTAATTGCAAGAAATTTGGTGTGAAAAACCTACTCCACTCTTTTGCTATTTGCAAAGACTGCCCAATGAATGTGGCAGGAAAACCCTTATTGTGCGCACTTAGACTGACTATTCAATGCACCAAATATGGCTTTGTATTGAAGAAATCATTTCCAAACAAGTCACCTCTCAGGAGATTTCAGAACAAGATTTCTCCTTGAGGGAGACTTCATCAGGCACAAACCAGATCACGCGAAACCTTCAAACCCTATCACTGTAGGGTCCTTTTCAGAATGTCAAACAATAAAAATCTCAGTTTATATTCCTAGCCAGAATGCAAGGGTACAGGTTTCCTCCCACTTTTGCAAAATTGCCCCCCAAAAATCTATTATTATTATTACTATTATTTTTTTCATACCACACATTTTATGTTGGCTATTTCAAAGGTATGTCAAGCAAGGAACAAAATCCTTTAAACTTCAGTCAGAACTTTTCAAAGTACAAGCTCTCAAGTCAGCTCAAAATAAAGGATTACTGCAAAAAACGTTCTTGCAATTTTATTTTGTAGGCAAAATCACTAAAGAGGAAGTGATAATGTGAGTAACGGAGCCATGACGGAGATCTGTTTTAGAACCAGGCACTATCCAATTATCTGGCGGGCCAGAACTAATCTGGCGGGCCAGATATAATTGCCATAATTGGCCAGTTTTGGCACCGGTCGTCTGTTGCCGATCACTACCTTAGAGCATTGTTATTGCACCAAATAAGGACCTGTATCATGTTTTATATGTTATAAGGGATATGTACAGATATACAGTTCTAGCCAACTCTATGCCAAAAATCTATTTATAGACAAATGTACAAATGTGTGTTAACCTACATGGTGATGTTTCTTATGTTTGGGGTCTAACTGACCAATAACACAAGTCCCAATAGACAAATTTCGGATTAGGGAGTGCTGCTTAAAAACTACTGTAGGTACAGAGCATATGAAACTTTACTGTTTTCAACCATGTTTTACAGCTGAGGTCTCTGAGACCCCAAGCAGAAGCAATGGATAATGTTCTTTAGTGGACTTTGATGCGTGCTATTAGTTCAAAATAATTTCTGTGGGCAATACTCATAAACATTCTCACAAAAAAGCAAAGATTATATGAAAGTTCAAAAAAATTACTATAGGTTAGTATGTCAGGACTTTGGCCTCTTTCCTGCCCCATTAATGATCTCGGGACCAAACTAACTTTACATGGTAATTTATTTTGAAACAATACTCTTTGATTTCAGACATAAGAAGACAGAAGCAGGCGTCTCACTTGGATTTTGTGAATGGAATGACAACTGTTGCTGGAATATTTAATCAGCGTAGCTAGCGGCTGAAATTCATAAAGAAACAACAAGAACCAACTGTAAAATCCACCAGGAGGTTACAGTTGACACTGTTCGCAAACTGATTGAATCATTTCTTCAACAGTAACAGCAAAACAATGGGGATTGTTGAAAATGGGTACATATAGTGATTCCACTGAAGTTAAGAAGCTTGTGGATCAAATAACACTGATGTCAAAAGCCTTGATTCCGTCGAATCGTGCCCTCAGAATTGAATGCAATAGGGGCGCCGGATAGCTCACCTGGTGGACCTGGCCCCCCATGAATGAGTCCTTGCCATGGGTTCATGTCTGACCCATCTCTCTCTCCAACCACTTTAGCACAAACATGATTTCATTCAGCTGCATTGAATTGGGCATAAATAAAATGGACAGTGACAATTGGCCCATGGGAAGATAAAGGCCCCCCCTCTCTAGCGCTCTAGACTGGCTTGTGCTATACATGATGGTATGATTTGAATGACAGTTTGCTGCACAGGAAACTGACCAGCTGAGGGCAGTGTTTGTCTACACATCCCTCTCAGGAGCCCAGCGGTTTCTTTCAGTACACATACACTATAATCCACCACAGTCTGATCCATTCATGTAGCCTTGTGTTCCTGGGCTTTCAGCATCAATAACATAACAACTCGCACTAATTACAGGCTCAAATGATCACTGATATGATCACACTTAGTAAACAACATGAAGCATTATTCCATGTAAGGCTGCAGTTTGTGTCTATAGTTGGCTAACCCTATCTTGAGGAAATTCAGATTATTATTTTTATTAAGTATTTTGTTCATGCTGTTTTATGCCTTCATTGGATAGCACAGCTGAAGGTAGACAGTAAATGGAGAGAGAAAGTTCACAGCAGCTTTAGTACATGGGGTGCATGCTCTGCCAAGTGAGCTGTGAGAAATTATTAAAATGGACAAATAGAGGTCTGGTCTGTTCATTCATCAAAGTATGAGGTTTATTGAGACAAGCGCTTGGAGACAGAGTGTGAGGATCTGTGTCTCAGCTGTCTTTAGGGTGGAGATAGTAGCAAGGTCACAGAATTAGCAAAAGAGAGTACATACATTTCTCTGTATCTTTTAGCATTCAGTAACAATCCACATGTTCCCACTAACCTCTGACAGCACTACCGTTGCACCTCATGCTCAGGCTCAGTCTCTGCGTCTGCATCTCAGACCTGGGGTCACCTGATTGCCTGAAAAAGTTTTACATTTTTTGATAACAATATTTATTTATTCTTGTTTTTACATTTCACATGAACATGGTTCCTCCTTTAGGCAGGGTATCAAGTAATATTATATATTGCAATCATTGAAATATAAAAAATGGATGCTGGGTCTCCTTTTCCTCCCACTGTATAATAATGAAGCCAAAATATCCAGGGATGCAGCCACGGCCATCCTTCGCCATTCAGAGCCAGTGTCTGTACAATAGTGATTGGGGTTTGGAGCCACTGTAGCGAGATCCCTCCCATGAAACCCCCCTTTTATAGCTTCAAATAACAAATTAAAACCAAACTGATCAGAAAAATGAACAATTGAACATACATCAGCGTGATAAGAACTACCTAAAATGCCAGACACCATCTTTGGGAAAAATGTATGTGACATGTAATTAGATTTTTTTGTTTGGCCCATGTCCCTTCTGCTAACATAGCTTTATCACTTATACTGCCATCTACCACCAGAGGATGATATAGTGGTTTGGCTTCACCTTTGAGCAGCTGTCATGTCGTCCATCTTTGTCAGTGGTTACAATAAAACTTAGTCTGCTCTGTATTATTTGTCCTGTCTATTGAAATTGATCACTTATTTATTCACACATACAGTAACTATTTATTTTGTTAAGTGTTATTGATCTGATAAAAATCAGCAACACAACTACTGCAGGTTTTCATCACTTGAAAAACAGAAAGCATAATGTCTTGGACATTATCTTGCAAATCTATCCTAAGACTGCGGAACTGGTAGTAATTTCTGAAGAGAGATGTAGATACATGCTGAATATTCCTTTGGTAAGGGCAATAAACATTTTAACTGGACATTGGCTCAGTGAGCCTGGACCTTGGACAGGAGAATGGACTAAAGCAGATTAAAGGATGTGTATGTAATGGAACAAATGACTAGTATAAAGAAATGGCATCCACTCAAATATGAATGTTGTGTCATAATACAGCTATATTTTTTTAATGAAGCAATTCACTAT